AAAAATTTCAACTCAAACGAATTTATTCTTCTTGAGCTATCAAATATTTAAGGAATGCATATATATATATCTCAAGGATATTCTAGTGACATCCTACTCATAGGCAAAACATAAGCGTATTCTCTTGTAAAAGAAAATTAGTATATTTCGTGAATTTTTTTCGTTTCTTTTGTAATATAAATAAATATTTGTCATTACTCCTTTGTTTGAATCGATAGTTCCATCAGATGGATTTCCATGAAAAAGTAAACGTATAAGATCATCTTGACTATGTTTAAACATATCAACAACACTATCAGATAGTGTATCACGATTTTTTTCCAAAAAACCCAATGCGTAATAAGAAACTTTGCCAGCATAATGATGAATGGTAAATGAATATTTATTATTACGATTTATTGAATAACATTCATGTTTATTTGAACCAAAATGATAATTTAATTTTTCTACAAATGTTTGATCAGTTGCCTATTTAATCAAAATAAAAAACAAAAAAAAAAGCTCAATGTTTTATAATGAAAACTTCTCATTTTTACCTTTGGAAGTCGACTTTCATCATCTAATAATGAAAGGATACCTAATGGTTTAGCCATAAAAAGTTCCTGAAAAAGAAAAGAACACCATAATTAATATATTCAACTTTAGTTTCTTCTTTTTTTTTTACCAAAAACGATTGATTATCAGTAAATGTTAATGTTTCAGCCATGATACCTTCACTTTCATATTCTGCCATTTCCATACGAAACACATGCTAGAATGAAAAAAAGTACATATATTATCTATCTTCTGCTAACAAAATAACATTGAGAAAAAAAAATATCTGAATCGAATCACTCGTCAGCAACGTAACTCCACTAAATTAAAAGACTTGTATTTCAGAATAATGAAATTTTCTAGAGTTAGTCTTTCATATATTACATGTATGCCAAGCTACTCCAGAGACTTTTGTTCAAAGAAGTTATCAGTAGAAAACTAAGGCTAATAAGGACATCGATTTTTCTTCATGAATTTTAATTTAAAATAACTCCAAATCGAGACAACTTTATTGAAACTTAAATAGTATATTCTGTAGAATAATTCTGAGACGACACAATTTCTATTCATGAGCGCTGTGACCAAATACGAAAAAAAGGAAAATTTTATCATGCATATAGTTAATGTCTCAGAATCATATGATTAAAGATATATTTACAAATTACTTTTTAATTAAAAGTTAGCTAAAAGAACCAATATTAAATAAAACATTGATCCTTCACTTTCTCATGTACATCAAGGATGCCAGATATCGATGGATAAAACCTCGAGTCCACAAAAACATGGATCTGCAGCTTCCTACAGCCTATAAATCAATCGAAATTTTTTCTATTCTAAATTGTTTTTAAAATTAATTAGTAAAGATATTAACAATCTTGTTTATGATAGACAAAACGCAAATTTCATAGTTATTTACTTGATTAAAAAAATATTGTATTTGTTCATTGGCTAAATTGATACATAATTGTTCAAAACTATTTAATTCAAAATGTTCAAAACCTAGTATTTAACAAAAACATAATTTAAATTTTAATCTATAAAACATCTTCTTTGTTTTTTTTCTTTTACCATAAATATCTAGTAAACCAATTTCAACAATATGATGATGTTGTTGAATAGGATAAGGATTATTTAATGTTTCATTTATTTTTGCAATAATCCAAGAAAATAAACGTGCATATAAATGTTTTGATAAAGCATCACGAGCATCTAAAATGAAGAATTTGCTTGTTTATTTATTATAAAAGAACGAAAGAGAAAAAAACAAATTTTTGTTTTTCTCAACTACCTTGACTTGATTGTAAACTAAATTTTCTAATAACTCTTTCATTACGAGTTAATGTTGTCATTGTTGTTAAACATTCCATAATTAAATCAGAATTAACACCAAACATATTCTAAATAGATTTTAAATATTGTTACAAAAATATATATATATATTATTACTATTGTAACTTACAGCAATAATTGCGAGATTATTCTTAGCTTTTTCTTCGTCAAAATTTTGTTGTGTAAAACCTTCATCATCAATAGAAAATTCAAGGTTACCAATGGTTAAAATACCAGATAATATACGAAACATGGAATGTTGTTCCTAAATAAAAATAGACATTTAATGAAAGTAAATCTCTATTCCCTATATTCTAAACTAGAAAAATTTTCTATTTCTATGATTTTCATTGAAGATTCGCTTAATTTTATGTTTGTAACATGATGAATGCAAGTCGAGTTTTTCGATTTTATTTACATTCTGTTACTACGCGACCAACACAATCACTCTTATTTTGTTTAAAACAACGTGATATTCATGATTGTCATCGTGATCAAAACTGTCAATCATGCAAAACACTATTCAATGGCCCTTTACACTACGAATGGAATCCTAGAAGTGAAAAAAAAGCCTAAATTGGTCTTGATTATTTCAAAAGTTTCTAATTCGTTTTATATTGAATAGTACATATTTGCGCTGAAAAATAATAAGAGATTTATCATTAATTCATACTTTATCAGTAAAATTAAGTAAGCCCATTGCATTGATCACTTCATCTAATGAATTTACAGTAACGTTATTTTGAACATCTAATGATGAATTCGTTAAAAGATATCTTTGAAATAGACAAACAAAAAAAAACCAAAAATGAATATTATATTCGTTGAAATTTTTATTTCTTTACTTATAATCATATTTCGTTCGAAGACACAACATTTGTTTTATTTCGGATGGGAGATAATCAAATAAATAATAAAATATATGAAAATTTCTTTCGCCTGGACTTTGTATTACTACACGTGATTTTTCTAATAAATAATCACTTATTTGAGCACCAATAACTAAAATAAAATTCGATAGAAATTTATAGAAATAGTTTTTATTTACCTTTGCCATTAATAAATTTTAAAGCAAGATATTTTCCAAATCGACTGGAATTATTATTCATCACAGTTTGTGCATTACCAAAACTTTCAAGTAATGGTGTTGCCTAAATAAATTAAAATAATAGTTATTTGGAAAAAAAAAGTATTTTTCTATAATATTAATCAATCAGCTAAAATCTAAATAGTGACCTTAATAGTCAGCAGAGCTTTCTATCCTGGCTGAACACAAATTAACTAATACTAGTTCGATTGGTGAAGATGAGTCGCCATCGACTATTGTTCATCGAAATAGAGTTGAATCAAAAACTTTATTTTCTGTATTTTTCAAATTAAATTATTCTATTCTTATGCATAGCGTAGATAAAGACAACACTACAGATAACAACTATTATATTAAACATTGTCTCAACCCTGTTGTCAATAAAATATGAAAACAAAGAAAGTCATCAAGTATAAAAGGTAAAGAATAACTTCATGATAATGCTCTACTTCATTTTCATCTACATGTTATTAATAACTTCACACAAGAAGGCGTCAATGCAATGTCACATTCATCATTTTTGTTAGACCTTGTGTCATGTAGTTTTTGGTCCAATGAACATATCAAAGAAATGAAACACTATCGGTTCGAGCGGTTTCTCTGTGTTGTCTTAATTAATTTATCTATGAAATATTTGAGGTTGATTCTCAACATTGTGAGAAATTATATTATTGTTAAATTTTTTTTTTAATCATTTTATATATATATACATACTAATACTTACTTGTAAAATTTGTTGTTCTAATTGAGAACTACCACCACATAAATACATTAATTGTTTTAAAAAGAATTTTGTACTTTCAGTTTTTCCTGAGCCTGATTCACCACTAAAATTCAATTTCAAAAAAAAAAGACACAAACTTCTCGAATTATTTATTTAATTATTTTTCTTAACCTGATGACACAACATTGTTGCTCGTATATACCATGACAAACATTTCGATAAACAAAATCGACAAGTGCATAAACATGTGGTGGTTTATGGATGTCAGTTGAATAACGATAAAAATCACGAATCTAAAATAAATCCATAACATAAAATATAAAGAATAAATATTTATTACTTGTGCAGTATAAAGACTTGTTTCATGAAATGGATTGACAGCAACAAGTATATCTCCAAGATATGTCTAAATTTCCCGAAAAAAAAAAAGATTCAATACAAATTTCTTTTATTTTTATATAAAATACTTACATAAATTAAATCTCTTTCATATCGTTCTTTTAAATGTTCAAGTAAAATATCTTCTGTTAAAAGACTAAGTTTGGCAAGATCATCATTTTTGTCTACCATTGATATAGTATCTTTAATAGATGAATATAAATGTTGCTCGTGTGTCAACATAATTGTAATAACATCTGGAAGATAAATGAAATTAGTGAAAAGAAGATGGACTAAAAAAGAAGAAGAAGAAAGAAGAAAAAAACTAAGATTATCCAACAATTAGTCTGTCGCGTCGAATACTATCGTTCTCAATAGCTTATATTATTCGTTCACGGTGTCATCAGAACATGTTCAACACCTTTTTTTCGGTAAGATGATACGCGTGCACCATCACGACTATGTCTTCCTTTTCTCATCCATACGTAAACAAAACTCATCAAGACAAAAGAGAAAATGAAGATGTAGGAGGAGGAGGAGAAAAGAAAAAAAAAATGAAGAAAAACATCAAACACTATCAATATCAATAAAACAAGCAATTTAGAATATTCTTTTCTCGCCCATCAATCGAATAATCAATCTTCTCCTCTATTGAACTCAATCATATAATCATCTCGTTTTCTTATCAATACACGGATAATGATAAAATAAAAAATAACAATTTAAAAAAAAATCAGCTATACTGATTATTTCTTTGTTGTCGTTATAGATCACACAAAATGTTAATATAAGAAAGAAAAAAAAAAGGCTAAAGAATCTTAGCGGTTTCTTTTCTTCTATTTCACACACATAAATCACCGGAAATCAAAAGATTGATATAGTATAAACATGTACATCCACACACACACACACACACACACATGCGTGCATGAATAAAAAAAAAATACATTAGTCTGATTTTTTATCAAATTGACCAGTAAGTACTTGAGTAACATAATTGATTGTTGTTGGATGTTTTAAAATAGCTAAATGTTCAACACCATGTATTTCTAAACTATGTATATCTTGTTTTTGTTTATTTTCCCAATTTTTAAATCCAAGTAAACTTCGTATATTAACTGTACCATCACCATTATCTGGTAAAACAATTGGTTGTAAATCAGGAAATGTACGATTATCATATAAAAGTACACCTGGTGTTGGCATTTGACTACCATATATTTCATGTAATTCAATATCAGGCGGTTTTAATTCATCAACTAAATCTTTATTATTTATCCAATAAGCATAACCAGTTGGAAATTCTAAATCATTAAAAAGTGCTTCATAATCATTAACTGTATAATTACGTTTTGGTGAAACAACAACAATTTCATCTTTATTCCAAAAATTAATACTTGGCATCACAAATGCAGTTGAAGGTGCAGATCGTTGATAAGGACGAACACGAATAGGTGAAACAACATATACCTTAAAATTATAGATGAAATAGATTTTGAATATTTAACAAAATAAAATCTCGATGATTTTCTAGTTCATATAATTTTATATAATCAATTAGTATATATTGATTCATTCTTGTCAAATGAAAAGAATGCATGCCCATTATAGGAAAGGACAAATAGCAATTACATAATAATGCGTTTTTCTATTAACTGATTATTATCGATCAACTACTTCTATTTGTTTCATATTAAATAACAATCAATTAACATTTTCTAGCTTTCTATTCATTAAACTTTTCTTTCTTTTGTCTTTTGATTTAATTCAATCATAGAATTGTTTCTAATCTTACGAGAATATTGTCTGAAGTCTTTCAAAGCTTTTAATCCCATAGTTTTATGCATATGTATAGCATCTGTCAACCAAAAGAAACCGTAGAAAATATTAATCTATGTACTAATTTAGTTGAGATTTTTATTTTATTTTATTTTTTTGAAACTTTAACTTGACAATTTAGTTACATCAACTAGACTATCTTGTATAAAAAATTTCAGATATTTTCAATGCATATTATGTCCAAAAATTCTGATATTATTTTGTTTTTTCATACAAGAATCTGTAGATAACTGAAAAAGCTTTGAATCACTTCGGACAATATGTTTGCGTATTTTTTCTCGTATATCTTACATCAATATTATCTCCACTAATCATTAGTCGAAGTGCTTTTATAGCACCACCCCATGGTGCAGCAATATTAATCATTGAACGAATATATTTAGCTTTAAAATCGGGTGTTTGTCGATGAAGCCAATATAAAGCAAACGGGCCTAAATAAATCCTCATTTAAAATTCCTTTTATTCAAAAGAAGAACAAGATAGAAAAAACGAACCTCCCATACTATGAGTTACAAGTACAATTTTTGTTTGATTATTTAATTCATATGTATCTTTGACCAATTGAGTAAAATTATCAAAAAATTCATTTTGTTCATCTAAACCTCGACGAAAATCATATCTTAAAATAAGAAAAAATATAACTGATTTTGTTTTTCAATAAAAAGAAATATCTTACGGAGCTCCGCGTAGATTAACACCACGTGTATAACCAAGTGTCACAAGACTTCTTACGATTGGTGCAAAATATGATGAATAAGGAAAACCAGATGCGTCAAAGTATTCAACAGTAGATGTATTTCCAAAGCCTGGTATTTGTGTTTCTACACCTTCTAAATTCGATGTTTTTTTCGTTGTTTCATTATATGTTAAACGCATATTATCAACAAAACAATCAATAACTTCAGGAATTATAAGACGAAGATCAAGCCATAATTCAAACCAATCTGAATGACGACTACAAAAAAAATGTGGTGGAGGAAGTGTACGATTTAATCGTGCCCAAATTTGTGAACCACCATCACCCGGAATAAATATTGCTGGATAATGAACATTGGCAGCATTGATATTATTAAAAATATAGATGAAACAAAAGAGAAATAAAGGATAAATCATATGTCGAAAAAAAAAAACGACGAATGATCGCTGCAAAAGTAGAAATAAGTAAATGAAAATCTACAAAATAATGTTCTGAATAACAATAATTCGCATTGTAATTTTTTTTTGTTTTTGCTCACACAATATAATGATTTTTCAGCGTCGTAACAATTGGATAGATAAGATTAAGAAGAACAAGAATGTGAACCATCAGACACAAGATGATTTTTAGCCAATGAAATTTTGAATTCTATCCTCTATTGATCTAAAAATTTAAAAATATATATTCTATTTGTTTTTTATGGTTTTTAAATTAATAAAAACTTTTTATTCATATCTGTATTATTTTGAATCATTGTTCAAATTCACATCTGTTAGCGACATCTGAAGATTCTATCTCAGTTCATTTCCTCTTCTAAAAAAAGATAACCAAATATCTATGAATCTATTCATTCATCTTTTGCACTCATTAATAAAATAATCATTGATGTTGTTCATTAAGATACGTATTAAAATTTTTACAAATAAATGAATCAGATTCAAATAATCATCAAATTTTCGATTATATAAATCCTTTATACTTAAGAAACATGATTGACAGATTTCTTTAAAATACTCAATTATTCCATATATTCATATATTAAAAACAATTTTGATTTAAAAATGGAATATGGAATGATTCGATGCAATAGTTGTTGATCGATGTTCTGATCAGATAAACTGAACCTAAACAAGGAAAAAATATTTTCATAATATATTTTAGACGAATTTCAAAACAAGAAGTGAACTATTAGTTAGTCACAGACGAATAGAATGATTAATATAATCTTTGTTCATGAATATACGTATTTATATAATTTAATTAATAATAGGAGAAAAAATTATGAACTTCTTTTAATACAGATAGAGCACCGCGCACAAAATAGGTAGCTATGGCTACTTGATTAATGATTTCTGTTGAATCACCATTGGCAATAGCATCACTGACAGCAGGAAAACCAATTGCCGCATATCGATTACCTTTGGCTGGTGCATAGATAATGTGTCTAAAATGAACTTTAGTCATACAATAAATTATTCACAGAAGAAGTTATCTATTACTTAAAATCAGTATAATCACGACCTTGTCCTAGTGGATTTAGAAATGCACGTTCAAGTTGTAATACTTGATCATTGTATACTCGAATTTCATATGGACTACAGAAAACAAACTCCATTTTTTTTTAATTTTCATCACTAACAGTTTTACTTTTCTGAATCTATTGATTTCGATCGTGTAACAAAATCTTGAGCAGCCTTACTAAAATCATTGATAGCATTTCGTAATGGATCTCAAAAAAGAATTTTAATTGTCTTATAAAAGAATCTAACAATAGTAGATTTTTTTACCGAGAATTTTAGGATCTTTTGGTTGAAGATTGTTCATAGCCTGCATAAGTGCTGTTGTATATCGTGTAACATTAAATTGTAAAACCGGTGTTTCTGATAAAAGTAAGGCTAAAACACCCCAAAACTGTCCCATTGTTTTATGAGCCTACTTGAAATACATTTAAAAACACAAAAAAATCCTGAACAAGAATAAACTAACTGTAAAATCGGGATCAATAAATTTTTTCACCATCGAAAAGACTTCATACGATGTATGATATAGCGGATATGAACTCATATTTCCGTGATCACTAGGATTCAACATATATCGTACATCCATATTTGATGAACCTACTAATTGATCAAAACCAAAGAAATCACTACCTGATCCAAGACCATATCTTATGCTTCATAAAAAATGTTAATAACAACTAGAAGCGAGACTTTTGTTTCTTTACTTTGGTTCATTAGTTGCTGGATTTCGATCAACCTTCATCCATTTATCATAGATAGTTTGACCAACAGGATCATATGCACTTGGAACCTTTAATGTAAAGCAGAGAAAGAGAGTATCTTATAGTATTGATTATTACCATTTTTGCTGCTTCGACTATGATGTCAAATAACAATGGAGAGCTTCTGACGAAAACCGTATGATTTCCTGTTTCACATATGAATAAAGCAACCGTTTCAATTCTTAACACATATTGTACCTTGAACTGCCATGTCTACATTCAAATAAGAAATGATTCGAGCACCCAGAACTTTCACATATTCCTTTAAAATAGAAAACATTAAATTATAATTTCAGAATAGTGGTTAACAAAGGCACGAAATATCTTCAGTTTATTTTAGGCAAAAATATTGAGAGAACACGAAGTTTTGAATATCACTTAAATGAAACATGACTAGTTTCTCTTCTATTAAACTCATAATTGACAACATTTAGCCATAGTGGAGATTCAAAAGTGTTCACAATTTTCATGAGAAAAAAGTGTTTAAGTATATGCTGTTTATCGAATGAGGAACTAAACATGTTTGAATCTTTTCCAGCTTAAGCAACGTGAATTTAAGGTTGGTTTTAGTTGAACACAGGCTTGAGGCTCGATCGTGTATGCCTATTAGGCATGAGTTGGTATTAGATAAGATACAGAATGATCTTATAGCAATAAGTTCTTTGTGAAAAGAAAAGAAAATTTTCGAGTCTATCTAATACATCATCTATTAAATATAAAGTGGACTTAAGTCTAGATAGGTCTAGTGGGTTCACCGCTTATTCGAGTTCAAATTATAGAATCAGATAACTGCCATACCTCAACGTATTCTACTGATCCAACGAGTCCATATTCTTCAGCACCCCATGAACAAAACATTAAACTACGTCGTGGTCGAAATCCTATTAAAGTACATGTCGATTATAGTATCATTGAAATACGAGCGTCATGAATTACCATTCTTGTACATTTGACCCAGTACTCGCGTTATTTCTAGCATAGTAGCCGTTCCACTTGTTGGATCAACAGAGCCTAGATTCCAGGCATCTCTAAAAGATAAAAAGGCTTTCAAATGATCAAGTAAAAAGTACTCGACTAAATAGCTAATGCCTAAAAAAGATCAAACAAACTTGAAGTTCATTATTGCAGGGTTAATGACTCACAATTAAATCTTGAATGGTCAAAAGAGCAACATAGATACAGTATACTGATTTTTCCTTTTTGAAAAACAATCTTAAAAGCACTTAAATTCTTCATATCTTACCGATGGTTGCCTAATACAATATATCGATCTAAAATAATAATCGGTTTGATATTATCACAGAATAACCTTTGACCAACCTGGTTCAATTTCTCCTTTCATTATTCCAATCACATTATAAGTATCTTTTCTTTCCAGTCGATTGTATGATTTCACTTCAATTGAACTATTGAAAACCAACTATAGTTTTTAAAGATCTTCACATTCAATCAACTTACGATGCGTCACGAAGTTCTCCACCATAACGATATGTTACATTTCGTAAACCTCCACGCCATTCAGAGTCTACTTCAACACCTTGCAAATATCTAAATGTGACACTTTTATGAATTAAAAGTAAAGAAGTACGGTCACTCACTGAAGAATAATCTCAGCTTCACTGTAACCAATTGGTTGAGCGGGAATTTTCGGTAGAAAGCTAACACTATCTACTGCGACTCTATACATATAATCTATAATATTGAAATGCACTATACACCCTAAGCTGATAACGAAAATATTGCAAAAACCTGTCGATGGATATAGAGGAGTCAAAGGATCACCATTCAAAGTGAAAGTTGACCCTCGCTGTACACCACTTGGAGGCATATACCACTTTTGATCATAGACTTGATCAGGTGTTGTTCCCAAGGGAGCATAATTCGCTGGATCATTGTATAGTATAGCGCCTACAGCTCCAAAATATTGAGCATGTATTACCTATAAATCATTTGATAAATTTCAAATTTACTCTCTTGTATCATCTATAATAGAAAATAGAAATACCTTATCTCCTCGGAAAATGCGACCATATCTCATAATAATGATGCTACCGTTAAGACTAGAATTTCCCACCACAGATGCTAATTTGTGAAGATCATCTAGTCCACCATAATTAGCATAGAATAATTTTGTCTATTATATTAATCAAGAATATTTTCTTTAACATAAAATGAATTATGAATAGTTTTTTCTGACTTACACTAGAAACAATTCCATTAGGTGTATAAGCAAGAAATGGATTGACTGTTTTTGGTTGTGTTGGATCATAGATTTTTTCAGTTCCACTTGTTTGAAATATAATCGTTCCATTAGAAAGTTTAAGATTAACTCTGAATAGAAATATGACTGATAATCAATAAAGAGATTACTATTTTATACGTACCGATTAAGTTCAGTGTCATTTGGATAAGAAAGAAGAACATTGTATTTTGATTTAGTTACTTGCAAACCATCAAGTTTCCATTGTTTTTCAATGACTTGAGCACTTTGTAAATCTTCAAGTTGACCAGCTATATGAGGACGTGAAGTGAGATCTCTATAAATTTTTATATAACATAGATATTTTTGTTGAAATAAAATGTTTGATTTACGTTTACTTAAGATTTGCTTCAATATTAGCTGCTTGAATAGAATCGATAAATGTTCGATAGTTTTTCGGATCAGCTGGTCTTGTAAGACGATTATACTTCCAAGATGTATCACTTGTTTTCTTAGATATACCAAAATGACCAATGATTAGACCAAGTCCAAGAGCAAGTGTAGTTGTAATCACCGCACCGATTATCAAAAACTAAGTATCATTAAATAATTATTTTCGGATCGAACAAATTTATAGAATATTTTACCTTGATATTCATCCTTACAAAGTTTTATTTGAAGTTTAATGTCTTTGCTGTTATGAATCAAAGCTGGAATAACCTTTTTATATTCTTTCACATCTTGCCATAATAAATGCTATTTTTTGTTCTTTTGTCTTATCTATATTTGCCAGAGATATGAGGATTCTTTTATTTTGACATTTTCGTTAAGATTTATTCTGTATAGATTTCAAAACAAATGTTGAATGAAAGAAATCATTTTTTTAGAAAAGAAAATATTTTTTTCCACGTGCAAAATTTTCAGCTTTTGTGTTTATTGCTATACCAATTGCCACAAAAGCTGAACATATTTCGAGTGAAAAGAAAAGCAAGCGTCGATATACTGAACAAAGCAACGTTTTATTGGAGATTTTTATGAAAATTATTGATTATCTAGACATCTAGAGAGAGGTTTTTTGAGGTGGGAGGTGGGTGTAAGTATTTGTGTCATTCTTTTTTGTTTACCCACTCACACACAATCACATATATGCACACGCTCACTCACATCTGCATACAATGGTTGTATACGATTGTCATAAACGATCATCGTTTTCTACCATAATTTGACGCGCACGATCGTTAAGGATTATGGCTCTTTCATTTGTGTATCGTTTCAAAGGAAACAACAAAGTTAGCACGTTTTATTGATCATTAATGATCCATGATTGATACAACAAATACTTTTAACATAACACTGTTAATCGAGAAACAATTCTGTCAAACTGTTCTGTCTTTCCTCAAGCATCTCTAACTCTTGTTCTTCTGTATTGAAATGTTCCAGATATATTGTTTGTAATCGAGTTTGACGATCTTCTTCAATATGTTTTACACGAAATATCGTTTCAGGAAGAATAAGAACTTCTTTTTCATCTTCGTACTGTGAAATACGTGGCAGATCAGATGTAAGAGTAAAAAGAGCGATAGCCGTTGAGCACGGTTGAAGGAAATCAATAATCATGAGAACATTCAGTTTATCTAATGAAGAATTCATGAAAAATCTGGCTACGTTTTCATTTTTTGATGTCGAACAAAAAGTATTCGTTCTTATATAACTTCCTTCATGGTTTCGTGCTCGTTCATATAGTGCAAAGTCATCATCTTGCATCGTTAGTCCACGATAACAGCGTCCTTTATAAGCACGTTTTTCTACACTTGACAAATTGAAAAATATGGGTGCGTAGAGACACTTTGTTTTGTCTTTATCTTTTGCAATATATTCAGTTATATTTTGATGGAGTGTAAACAGATGAAGAAGATGTGTTATTTGTCTTGTCTCAGCATAGGTTTGAAGAAGTGTGCATGCATGTGAATACTGCTTGTCAGTATGAGTAAGACATTCGTCGATAATAGATTTGAGAGCTATCGACCAATCTTTAACTTTTTTCTGAATAGGATCGATCCCGACAAGGCGTTTACCAAAATCCACAATCGATTGAAGATTAGGTCTCGCGTCTAGAATATTAAGGTAACATTCTGTTAGAATGGGTACATCACTTCCATAGAAATGAATCCAATGTGATCCTAAAAGACGTCCATTTTCAACGACTTCGAATGGACTTGGAGTGTTCCCATCACTACAAAATCGATTGTTGTTGTTGTTGTTGAGTTGAGATGACCTAAACAAACAAATAATAATGAATGACAGAATTTTTAGATTGGAGATGAAAGTAACTGTACTCCATCAATGACCATCATTATCATACGTGCATTTGTATCCACTGTTTTTCATAAAAAACTACAAGAAATTATTATTTTACAAGTTGCCTATATGAATCAGACGTTTATTTATTTGTTAATTCTATAAGAAAAATGTATCAAATGCAAATAAATAAATAAAATTTCTTAAATAATTCCATAAGAAAAAAAGAAATACTGGAAAAGTCAATTTTAACTGATTATATTTTTGTTAAAAATCGATTAGACCTAACACGACTCTAATTAAAATAGATAAACGAAAAATTTAATAGGTTGAAACTTATCAGTTTTTATTATCGATTATCGTTTTCTTTTTTCTAATATGATTAAAATCAACTACAGAAAAAAAAATTAAAATCAAATTAATCTATTTGTTAGTCTTGAAATATAACTTTAATCGAATTAAGCTGTATTTTTCTAATCGCTTCTGAATCAATCGATACAAATAACATGTTTTCTTAAAGGGTATAAAGAAAGTAGAACAGCGTTTCCTATTTTCTATTTGCTAAAAAATATCTGAGACAGTCAAAATAATGTCAGATTTATTTAGATGTTACACAAATATAAAAAAATCTGTTATTCATAAATAAAAATATTTACATTGATTTTTAGCTGGAAATAGAATACGTTTTAACGATGATTTGGTTGTTGGTCCAATTTAAATGAAATGTTAGTGGCGTTTTACGCAGTTGAAATCAAAGTAAAAGCTCTAAAAATGAAATTTAAGTACATTGTGCTTGTATTTTGCGCTAATCGACAGCTGAATAATGAAGCAAATATAAAGAAAATATTAAAACATTTGCACTTACTACCATTAGCCATAAATAGTCAAAGTTCAAGTAGAAAGAAAAGAAAAAAAAGCAGGAGGGTGTGGGTGTGGGTGTGGCGTTGGTGAAGAGAAGAGCACATCCATACCCCACACCCACATCCTTATGTAAAACTAGATATATGTGAAAAAAATTCTAATAGAAAAATAATTAAGCTAAAAGTATATCTGAAACAAACTATCTATTATCGACAAGTTTTGGAAACAAATGAATGTGAACAGGAAGTTCAGTTCGATCGTTATTTAAAATAGTTCAATCTCGTTCGTGCTACAGTAGTGACATCCATATCGAAATGTAATCTTTCTTTTGATTTCAAATCTTCATAATTATGTTAAATAACTATGTGGAAATTCTATTTCACTCTCAGTTTAATAAATATTAAAATATTTCTTGAAATACTTCATAACTCATCGCTATTTATCGAAATCGGGAATCCAAAGTGACTTATCACTCCGATTTATCACCAATTTTTGAATATCGTGAAAATCATGGCGATTTTTGCAATATGGGATGCAATTCTTTAGCCTTGAAAATGCAAAAAGAATGCTACCTCAAGCGGACAAGAATTTGGAAAAATGCGTTTAAGCGCTACAAACGGGAACCGCGATTGTGACTCATTTAGACTCAAAAGAAAAACGCAACAAACGATGTTTTTTTTGCGTTTAACTTTCACTTTTAGAGCCTTAAAACACATTGTTTTTAAATTCCAGAATAAAAGCACGTTTTAACACTAAAAACTGGAGTTTTGGGGCGTTTTCACGCTCTATAAGTAAAAATTAAACGCAAAAAATGCAACAAACAGCGTTTTTGCGTTTTTCTTTTGAGCGTGAATGAGTCATAATCGCCGTTTCCGTTTGTAGCGTTTAAACGCGTTTTTCTAACTTCTTGTCTGCTTGGGTAATGAAGAAAAAAAAGCCAAGAAACGATGGTATTTATATTCTATTCAACCAATGAGAGGTAATAATGATGAATGCAGTATGTCATAATAATTCCAAGGTGCATCGTTTCTAGAAACTCGTAATTGCATCAGTATTCTCTCAGTATTTGAAGTCAGACATGAAAATACTAAAGACAATACATATTTTGTTGTGTGTAGTTTTTATTCATTTGAAACTTATTCATAAAATACAAATTGATGTATCACTTTAATTCAGGACAAAGGAAATGGAAACAACTATGTTTCAAATATATCTAGGCAGGGTGGGTGTGAGTATCGGGGTGTGGGTGTTGTTCTGTTCTTCAACAACACACCCACACCCGACGTTAAAAGAAAAAAAGCTAACGCGTCACGGTGTTAAAAACAAAAAACGTACCGCGACGCAGCCGCGATGATTGTTAGGAAAATGTTGTGAATTTTACGACTGTGACTGTTTAGGCCTAGAACTGTTATCACTAGTCGATAAAATTCGTTGAGTCACATTGTTTTGTACTTGCAAGCGTTGAATTCCTGTTCAGACTCATGCATTTTTGCATTCTCCTTCAAAAC